AATATATATATATATATATATATACACACACACATATATATATAATATACAAAATAAAACAAAAAGCATTGGACTCAGAGCTTTCAGAGTCTAACAATACTTTTGCGTTCACAGTATTTATTTTACTTTATTTTTACTTTTTGAGTTGGAGTCTCACTCTATTGCTCAGACTGGAGTACAGTGGCATGCTCCTGGTCACCACAGCCTTGACCTGCTGGGCTCCAGCGATCCTTCCGCCTCAGCCTTCCAAGTAGCCAGAACTACAGGCCTGCGCTACCATGCCCGGTTCATTTCTTATTGTAGAGACGAGATCTTGCCAAGTTGCCTGGGCAGGTCTCAAACCCGCGGGCTCAGGCAATTCACTTGCCTTGGCCTCCCAAAGTGCTAGGATTACAGGCTGAGCCACTGAGCCCAGCCATAGTATTTATTTTTACAGCTGCCTTTTTAGTAGCAACCATAATGGGATTATAAAAGCTTCCTTAAAGAAATTTAATGACAAAAATGTAAGTTTGTTTAAAGAAAAACATTAAATAAACAGATGCGTACAGAGAATAACTCAAGTCTAGGAAACACTACCATATTCTAATCAAACTAAATCACTGAGGCCTACCTCTACCTTCCTTTTCACAGACAAAACCATTAACTGAAACTCTTTTTCACAGGGTATCCTGGTATCCATCTTCATTTCCCCCCCAAAAAAAACTTCACAGCTGTCTGATCTTCCATGCCTCCAGCTGCTCCCCAGGATAATATGAGGAAACATGTTCTTCATTGTTAATGAAGAAAAGTATAGCTTCACAGAAAGTCTCACTGGGTAGAATCTATGTTTTAAAGTTCATGAATAGGATCTGTGGACCGCTAAAAAAAACAGCTAAATTTACCTGGAAATTTCTTGACAACATAACTTCAAGTTTCCCCCCAGATTGAATAAATCCTTCCCTACTGGAAATCCCACAGAACTTCATGTTTGCCGATCTCGGGTCAACATTTTCTACAGTGGTCTTCCCGGATAAACATTTTATCTTATTACCCCTATATACTTTAAGCCTGGGAAGACTGAGACCTTATGATTTGCCTCTGTAGCTCAGAGAAAGCATATAATAGTCCAAACAAAGCCTGTTCAATATTCTCTTGTTTGTGACAGTTTAGTCTTCAAGACGGGCACGTCACACTAAGTCCTGTGAGCCTCACAACAAATGTACACGGTTTGTACTATGTTATCTAACTTATATAACTATATGTTCTTCTATTTCCATTGTATAGGTGAGAAACCGAGGATAAGTGACTTGCCTTTAGTCACTCTGCTAGTAAACTGTAGAGTTTCAGTCTCACGGCTTTTGATGATTTATGCGTGGTCCCCTTTGGTTCCGGAATATCCCTCTTCCCAGAGCCGCTGTCGGCTCCGCCTCCGCGAGGGCTGCGCAACCCCACCAGGAACCCCCCTCGGCCTCCCACAAGCGACAGTGGGGCGCGACAGGCGCCCGAGCTATTGGGCCAAGAGTCTGCCTAGACTCAGCAGGGGGCGGGGAGCGGAGGTGGCCAAGGCCCAGCCTCAGTCCGCAGCCTCAGGGGCCAGGGAGGGGCAGAAGCCCACCTGCTCAAAGCCGGCTCCTCGTCGCTAGGCTCTTCAACCACGTAGGGGTCGTAATCATCCGGGAGCCGGTTCATGGTGACCTGCTGTAGCCTACACAGTGCCCGATCTGCGGCGTCTCTGTTTACTTCGCAGGTCCGGGAGCTAAAGCGTCCCCGGACTCCACTTCCGTCCGCACTTCCGCCTGAACCGATCCTCCCTGTGCGCCTGCGCAGACTGTCCCAACGAGGAGGCGAAAAGCAGGGACCAGCGGGTTCCACTGCTGCCCTACGCGGCTTCTGCTCACAGGAAAACTACCTTAATACCGAAAATAAGAATAATCTACACCCTCGTAAGTGGCAGTCTCTAAGATGAACGCTTTACGTCCAGGGTCTCTGTCACACGAAGCAGAAATCTAGATGCTGAGGGACACGTAGCCTGAAATCCTGTAGCCCTCCGACACTGGCACGCGGTGCCTTTCCAGCCTCTCCTCCAACCCTCCTGCCTTCCTTTCACCGCGCGGCTCTGCCTCGGCTTCACGCTATTCACCCTGAGTCTGACTTCGTCCCCGACCGTCTACCCAAAACCTTTTCTCGTTCTCTTTCCAGTCCCAACTTGTGCTCAACCCTCATCGGACTCCACTCGATGCTTGAGGATGAGGCAGATGACAGCCCTTTGATCTCCATTGAGAGAGGGTTTCTTCCCCTGTTTCTGTACCAGTCTGTACTAGGGTTCTTGCCACCTACATCTCTCCCCTCTTCCTCATCCCATCCGAATGCTTACCCCGTTTGTATCTGGTCCCTGCCCTCTCCTTCGGTACTATGTCAGATTCGAGTTGCCTGCTAAATATCTCCACCTTCTCTACTCCTGGCAACTCAAACTCGGTGTGGCCCAAACCCAACTCAACATCTTCCACCCATCCCATCCCGTTAGCTATCTTTGACTCGTATCATTTCTGCCATCGTCCTTTCAACTGCTGTAGACTAACAGTCTCAGAATTTCGACTCCTTTCTTTGTCCTTCCATGAGCTCTCATTTCGCAAGGCCTGTAGATCTCTTAGCAATGTCTCTTACATCCACACCCCAACTCCTACTTTTAACTACTGATATAGGCTCCTAATTGACAACTTTGTTTTGTTCTTGCTTCCTCTCCAATTATGCTGCTCGCCACTGACAAAGTAGCCCTGATCCAGCAGAGCTCTGCTCTGAATGAGTTTCCTAATTCAATTCCTTAAAAAAAGTCCTAATATTTCACCTTGATCTGATGAATCTGTTCACCTGGCCTCTGATTTTCTTGGCCTCCCACAATATAGTTCATCCATTATGCCAAACTGATTTCCCACTACACTTCAACACATATCCAGCACAATTTGCAGACTCCAGATGCCTGATGCCTTTCACCACTAGACTTTTGCTTATGCTAGTCCCTGGAGCACCCCTCTTTGATTCTTTCTTCATTTTTTTATTGTTTGTTTGTTGAGTTGGAGTCTCACTCTGTCACCAGGCTAGAGTGCACGGCTCCAGCACTCCTTTCGCCTCTGCCTTCCAAGTCACTGGAACTACAGGCATGTGCCACCATGCCCAACTAATTTTTTGATTTGTTGTAGAGATGAGGTCTTGCCAAGTTGTCCAGGCTGGTCTCAAACCCATTGGCTTAGGCAATCCTCTCACCTCGGCCTCCCAAAGTGCTAGGATTATAGGAGTGAGCCACCACACCGCACAAAGGCCCTCTCTTTGATTTTAATGTCCAATGTCCTAATGTCCAGTCAGCTTTGAAATGCCATAGTTATGGAAACTCACACTACATTTTCTTTTCTTTTCTTTTTTTATTTTTGAGTTAGAGTCTCACTCTGTTGCCCAGGCTGAAGTGCAGTGAGATGCTCATGGCCACTGCAGCCTCAACCTGCTGTGCTCAGGTGATCCTTCTACCTCAGCCACCATGCCCAGTTAATATTTTTTTTTTGTAGAGATGAGGTCTCATCATGTTGCCAGGGCTAATCTCCAACATGGGTCAGGCATTCCTCTGGCCTCCACCTCCCAAAGTGCTGGGATTACAGCCATGAGCCACCACGCCTGCCAACACTACATTTTCTTTGATGTTTTTTCAGATTCTCCCTCTACATGGGATTCTTCTCTGCTCTGAATTGTGGTAGCATAGTGTACCACTTCCTTGACATGTATTACTCTAGTTTTCAACTATTCTTCCACACAACCAACTTGAGAAGTACAATAGACTCCTATGAGTCATAGTGACATAAAGACTTCATACCATGTGTCCTTTTCTGAGAATTGTAACTATTCTTGGAATATACCATTATGTTCATGTTCATCCTGCTCCAGAAAAGCTGGACCAATTACATTCTCACTCCCATAGTGTAAAATTAGGAGTCAAAAATTCGGCCAGGTGCAGTGGCTCAAGCCTGTAATCCCAGCTCTCCGTGAGGTGGAGGCAAGAGGATTGCCTGAGCAAACAGGTTCGAGACCAGCCTGGGCAAAAGCGAGACCTCATCTTTAAAATAAATCAAAAAGGTAGCTGGACATGGTGGTGCACACCTGTGGTTCCAGCTACTTGGTAGGCTGAAGTAGTAGGATCTCTTGAGTCCAGCAGGTTGAGGCTGTGGTGCCCGTGAGCCTGCTACCACATTCCAGCCTGGGTGACTTTGAGACTCCGACTCAAAAAAACAAAACAAAACAAAACCAGAAACCACATGTGTCTCAGAGACCAAAATACTTTCCTTTTAGCCTTTTACAGAAAGAGCTTGCCGAAGCCAGGCTCAGTGGCTCAGCCTGTAATCCCGCGCCTTGGGAGGCTGAGGTGATTGGATTGCCTGAGCCCGCGGGTTCGAGACCTGCCTGGGCAACTTGGCGAGACCTCATCTCTACAATAAATCAAAAAATTAGTCGGGCATGGTGGCGCACGCCTGTCGTTCCAGCAACTTGGAAAGCTGACGCATATTCTCTGAACATTTAAAATGGAAAATTATTTCAAATGTGGCATTTAAAATGGAAAATTATTTCAAATGTGATTTTGATGAAAATATTTTTTTCTTTCAGGTTCTTTCTCAAAGTTTCAGAACTGTTTGATAAAACAAGAGTAAGTACTAAATTCTAGAGATCTGCAGAATATTTGTGTCTGTAGAGTTCATGTTATGTGCTTTTACCACAATAAGAAAACCCGACTTTTTTCAGGCCGAGCATGGTGGCTCAAGCCTGTAATCCCAACACTTTGGGAGGCGGAGGCGAGAGGATTGAGCTCGCGTTCGAGACCAGCCTGGGCAAGACGGCAAGACCTCGTGTCTACAATAAATCAAAAAATTGGCCGGGCGTGGTGGCACCCATCTGTAGTTCCAGCTACTTGGACGGCTGAGGCGGAAGGATCGCCGGAGCCCAGTCAGTAGGTCGAGGCTGCAGTGGTCATGGGCGTGCCATCGCACTCCAGCCTGGGCGGACAGAGTGAGACTCCAAGTGCTTACAGAGGAGCCACAGCCCCCGG